CTGATACATCAAAGAATCTTTTTTTTTTTTTCTGTAGCAGCATAATGAGAACTTACATGCAGCTAATTATTTCCCCTAGTTCCCACCTCATTTTGGGAGACAGCACCTCCCAGGGCACAGTTTCTCCCACTCTGTGCGTGACCCATGTCCTTTGTACTCAAAACATGACCTTGTCCCTGGCTGAATGCAATAATTAGTTTGAATGCAAGCAACATATGAAGCAATCCAAGTATTTCTGCAGAGCTGGCCTGCCAATATTGTTTTATCAAGCCACCCATCTTCCTGTCACCCTCAGTGATTTCTGTTTTCTTCTTGGCAGCTACTAAAGGCACGGAACAGTGCTGAGCTAAAGGCAGGAGATCAGGAATCCCAATGAGAAAAACCCCCACTTGTAAGCAATACCAACATATAATCATATTTTGTTTGGTTAGTTGGTTTGTAATTTATTAATAATTTTAAACTAGAAGAAAGTCTTACTGAAGTCTATATAAATCAACCATCTTTATCAATCAGACTTCCAAATTTAGAAAAAGAACAGTATCAAGTTTACTTGGCAAGAACAACCCGGGAAATAAGGATACTTATGGCAATTCAAATTAACTTTGATCTACCTTTTCCTCTGAGATTCAGGTTAGTTTTAGACAAGGGCTCGAGGGGTTCTATATATATAACCATGATGAGTAGCATTTAGATAGATTACTGCCCTTTAAATTTTATGTATAGAGCTATTTATCTGCCTGTCATTATTTTTGTCTGAAACTGGCAGGTTAGAGTTTATAAATACCCAGTCAGCCTGCTTATTCCCTTTTCTCACTGGTGAAACTAAAAATTGCTTTTAAGACCGAGAAAAATAGAAATGTTTGCTCCTAAAAATGACCTTGAAAAGCAAATATCAGTGTTTTGAAGACTATGAAGTGAAAATTAAGAGCTACTGATTTTAAATTGACTTCTTTCACAAATTCCATTTTCTCTGGAATTTGCTGTTCTATTAAAGTCTCTGAACATGGAAAAAATAATGTCAGAGTAGAGCCTACACTTAAGGAAATCATCTCTTCTCACACCACTTTGAGAAAAGCAAATTGCTCTTTCTCATTTCTGTGCCCGACAAGAGAAGACCTGCCAAATAAGATTAATCTACTGGTTAATTCTAGAGTATTTCTGGCAATACCCAGTGACTTTTATAAAAATAAAATGGATCAACAGATTGGAGATAAAAATTTCGGCTAGGCAGTAAAGCGTCCTATTCACTCATATTCTTGGGGAAAATCAAAAGAAATGGCTGTCACTTCTTCAAGGATGATTGTGGGAAGAGACTGGTCATGCCTACAATGAATCTTCTCAAGTAAGGGGTGTTGTCCCCTTCACCTCCATTCCTGCACCCACAGGGATGCTCTGTGGGCAGGCAGGCAGGAAGCGGCGCACGCCAGCCTTCCTGAGCGTGTCCTGCGGCGTGAGCACCACTGGGTCCCTATGAGCTTCAGAAAGCACTACCCGTGCCCTCCAGGGCTGAACTGTCGGGGGTTGCTTATAGAAGGGTGAATCTGATATGAAAGGAGACTCAGGCAGGGCAGACACACCTACAGAAATCAGTATTTGGAAGGAAGAGTTCATTGTAACTGAAGTGGAAACACCCTACCTATGCAGTAATACTCTGTGTCACAACTCTCTTCCAACACTCATATTTATCCCAAGCCATTTTCCCACCTGCCTAAGCGTTCTGGATGTTTTTTTGTCTGTATCCTGTGCTCATATACTTTCTGCAGAGTATTTTACTTTGGACTTGCATTTTTCTAAAGCCCTGAGCACCAGCAATGACCCCTTCTTCTTTAACTTTAACTTCAACTTCCATACTGCCTCCTCCCAGAAGACTGGACCAAAGGCTCATCTCAACAGAAGACAGTCACTACATTCACTTAACTACAGAAGGTCTTCACACAGCCTGGTGTTTTACACTGCAGCTATACTGAGAAGGGCAATATACCTCTGCAAACCTGGGAAATAAGGATACTTATGGCAATTCACATTAACTTTGATCTCCCTTTTCCTCTGAGATTCGAGTTAGTTTTAGACAAGGGCTCCAGGGGCTCTGTATACCAAGTGCTGAGGCCAGTTTATTTCTCAAGTGAGATCTGTTATCACAGGGATTTCCAAGCAAGACCAGGAAGCAGGGGTGCTCTGCCACTGAAAAGCTGCAGGTGCCTAAAATTTTTGGCATTTAGAAACAGTGTAATATACAGCTGGATAAGTAAGGAAATCCTTGCTATCCAGCTCTTGACAGTCAGCGCCTCTGGGGGAAGGCAGATAGATTTGGAGCAGCTTAGGAGTGGAGAGCAGAGGAACAGTTCCACTGTCACACGATAGTGGCAAAGCCAGAGAGAGAGAAATACGCGGTCACTGTGTGGAAACCAAATGGCAACAAAAGCAAGGGGCCAAAGCAACAAAGAGAGACATGATCATAACTCCACAAGAGGGACAGATCCTGAGGCCCTGCCTCAGGTGAGCTTCCGGTGGGAGTCTGCCTACATCTAGATGGAGTAAAACCGCCTACAGATTTGGCCCAGTGTAAGATACCGACGCGGAGGCTTGCACCGACGGGCACAGGGAAGGTGACTCTTGCTGATACCTCCACGGTCTCTCCTCTCCAGTAATAATTGGAAAACGTTTGTGGCTCGATGGCACGCGTTCAGTGAGGCCGCCCTGCACTTCCTACCCCGAGGCTGCAGGGCGCGCGAGCAAGTCTCTGAGATGAGCCCTGGCATCCACCTCTTTCACACATCACACGTTCACCATCTGCGTTCCCATCTTCAGCCACGCTGCCGCCCCTGGCCCAGGCTGCTGGGAGATTTAGAAAGGCAGACGTTTTCAGTCTCTGTGGGGTCTGGTTGCAGGGGCTTTGGAAGTTACAGTACCTTAGGCCAGTGTTGTCTGGGATTCAATATTGCATTAAGTGGTGACACATTGTGGGCAGGTGGGATCTATTATTGCATTACGGAGGCTGCTGCTTCCCTGAACAGGCTATGTTTTGTGTGTGAAGCGGGCCCACACCTGCTGGAGCTGGGACCTGGAAATGCGGAGGACGGAAGGCATGAGTCTGTGGTTTCCTGCCGTGAGGGGCATGTGCCTGCGGTGGGGCATGCGCACGGGGCTGCTCTCCGCCGAACGGCTGCGCTGTATGAAAGTGCCACCAACGTGAGGGTAGTGTTCTGTCTCCAGGGTTGAGGAGGAGAAAACGGAGGATGCCAGTCTTCTCAGGGGGCTGTACCTCGGAAGGGAGTGCTGAGAAGGCCTGTCCTCCTCCAACTGAAAAAGACCAAGAAGAGTGGAGGAAAAGGTGTCAGGCACAGACTTGACTCGCCCCTCGTTTGTGATGCGCATGCTGTGGACATCTTCGCCGGCGGATGAAAAATGCTTCTGCTCTACACGGGGCTTACCTACTGCTCTGCCTCTACAAGCTCCCGGGGGTCCTAGGGGCACCGTGGGAACCTGACATCAAAGGGGGCCTGCCATGCTCTCCCCAGCCACACACAGACAGGAGCCGCACCAGCAGTACCAGGCTCCGCTACACCAGTCCCCTCCTCTGGCTCTTCAGGCCGCACGCCTCACCTCTCTGTTCCTCTGTTCCACTCATCTTGACATGTCATTAGGTCAAGATGTCACACCTCTTGCATCTAGGTAACAGTCAAGCTCTGAGCACACTTGGAAACCACATGTGAGAGAAAAGATGAAACACCTGGTGCTAAAATTATGCTATGTATTGAAAAGTGAGGGGTCGTCAGGGGCTCTTTCCATGAGTCTTATTAAAACGTGCGCCAGGGATTTGCAAAGGCAACTTTGGGGGCTGTTAGTGGACTTCCTTTTTCTTACACTCACACTGCTGGCCTCCCGATACACTTTCACACTGAATATCTGCAGGGGGAGTGTTAATGCTTTCAGGTTTTGGTAAGCAGAGGACAGGCAGCAGCTGGAAAGGCAGGCAGAGTAAAATTATCCTTTCAGTGAGGAATTCAAAACACAGAGCCACAGGAGGATATGAGGAGAAGATGCACTCTCAGGTCCCTTTTCTGCTTCTGGGATCCTGGGGTGCCCAGGAGAGGGAAGAAAATATACTCACAGAGGGCAGCTTGTGTCAGGATGAGATTGCAGTCCCTACCTTCTTTCTACACACCGAATGGAAAAGAGAGGCATTATGGGAATGACTTCAGATTCCTCATCCTGAAAATGCTAAGCCCTTCCTCCCCTTCCTACCTCTGCTATGAAACTAGCACTTTCACAGGGGTCAGCGACCTCAATTTCCAAAACCTTTCTTCCTGGAATTACATTTTTCCTTACGAATCCATTCCTTTCCTTGTGTGGTGTGTCTTTTCAGGAAGCCTCTGCAGGTTTCAAAATGTAATTGGGAAATGTGAAAAGGCAATATTGATTATTTTCTTAAGCCAACACTGCTCTCCTTACCTTACTAGAGATGTTGCCCTTGCAAATGATATAACAGCTGAACTTCATCCACTCTCATTTCTTCCCTGTCACCTTCAATATCTTTGCAGTGCTTTGAGGCAGGTAGCTTATCTTCATAAGTGTCTGAAAACCACTCAGCTTGTGGTGGACATTAAATGTGAAAAGCAATTATTCATAAACCTAAATATACTGGGTGTCACTGCATAGATCAGGCTCTGGGATAATACTAATGAAATGCTGTCATACAGGGTATTTGAGAGAGGCAAAGAAATTCTAAACGGCAGCTCTGATTTCTCATAAAGACAACCATCTATTCTTTGTGTAGCTAGTGCAGAAATTCAGTTTTGAGGGTTCTGTTTCTAGGCTGCACAACTAAGTATACTAGAATTCTTATTTACTTTCTGCTCCGTGTTTGGCCTAGCATAGTTTATGATTTCCAGTGTATATTTTCCTCCTCTACACCACAGGACCAAGGACCTTGCCCAGGCCACGATGGGGCAAATCGCATCGCCCCACCAGCAAGCACCCTGAGGTACTGCTGCCTCCTGGCTGAAGCTGAGGTTACAGACATGCCACTTTTCTTCCCTGATGCTCTAAAGCTTAAATGACACAGTCAGTGCTGAGATGCTACCTCCTTTTATCCCTTTGCCCTTGGCAGCAGTCAGCCTGGACTGCCCTCCATCAGGCCTACTCTGCTCTGTTTGGAGAGGAGCAGTATGACACTTGTCATGTAAAGTCCCAGAAAAATGTGATATTGACAGAGGTCAATATATTTTAAAGACAGAAAGTATAATTAGGCATTTCTACAGAGCTTAATGGTTTGATTGTTATTATGAGCACATGTGAGCATGACTTCTCTTATGTTTTGCTGATTGTGTATTTCTAACACATGGATGGACAGGTACCCTGAGTGTGAAGAACATAAGGGACAGAGGCCAGGTCTACACAGATCCTTCTCCATCAGCTTGCAAGCTGTTCTCATGTGGAGGGAAGTTGAAGGAGCTGAACATCAAAGAATCACATCATCGTTGCTGGAGCGTGTCCAGAGAAGGGTAACAAAGCTGGCGAGGGGTCTAGAGCACGAGCCTTAAGAAGAGTGGCTGAGGGAGCTGGGGTTGTGCAGCCTGGAGAAAAGGAGGCTGAGGGCAGACCTTACTGCTCTCTGCAAATACCTGAAAGGAGGTTGTAGTGAGGTGGGAGTTCTCCCCTGGCACCTTCTCCCAGGTACCAAATGATAGGACAAAAGGAAACTGCCTCAAGTTGGGCCAGGGGAGGATTAGACTGTATACTAGGAAAAAATTTTTGACAGAAAGGGTTGTAAAGCACAGGAATAAGTTGCCCAGGGAAGTGGTGGAGTCACCATTGCAGGAGGTATTTAAACAACGTATAGCTGTGGTGCTGATGGACATGGTTCAGTGGTGACCTAGCAGTGCTTAGTTAACGGCTGGACCTGATGATCTCAAAGGCCTCTTCCAACCCACACGGTTCTATTCTGTGATTCTGTCAACAGGCACCAAAAGCAGCTCAACAGAAATTACCCCGAGGAGGGGCAATGAGAGTCTGTCCCTGCTTCTGCAAATGCCTATTTCTCACCACTGACAAATGGTCCTTCAGGTCACCCCACAGCAGCCCACAGCCGATGCTGCAGAACGGAAACCAAGACCCATAGCACATTTTCATACCTCATTTTTCCTGCTGCCTTCTTCCCCCAGACTAACTCTTCTGCCCTAGGTTATAAACCCTGCTGTGTTTTGCTTCTACCTGTTGCTTGGTTATTTTAGCTCAGCTTTTCCTCCTTCTGCCTCAGAGCCAGTGAAGTTGTAGTTTCTGTCCTCTCCTGCTGCCTATAGGCACTGTGGGAGTGACAAGGCTTTCCCTCATCATTGCTCCAGGGTCTGGGGCCACAGAGGCCACCAGGCCCAAACCAGAACCCAGCTGAGCCCTGCTCAGCTTTCAGTCCTCAGTGCAAATGAAACAGAGCTCCTCCAGGTAACAGACCCAGGGCTCTACACCACATGAACCAGAGAGGCAGTACAGATCACCCAAAATACCAGAGCCCCTGTCCTTGTTGTGAGGCAGGCCTCTCCTCTACCCATTTCCAATGAATAACCATCACCAACTCAAACCAATGGAGGAGGAGAAGGGCGTCCTGTGGTTGCTGATGTGGTTATCCCCTGACCAGCTGTGCTGCTCCCAGGGGTACCAGGCAACATCACAACTATAGCATCCCTCAGATGAGGCAATGATGAAGTTCAAGGAATGTGGGGGCACCTGTGGGCTAAGCAGCAGAACAGAGGAGTTTTTTTGGCTCAGTGAGGGTCTCAGCACATTTTTTTATGAAAGGAAGCCAGTGATTATAAGTTGGACTCCCAGGTAAAGCTGTCCCAGGCAGCCTGTGCAATGTGCTTCTGACTGCTCCTATCTTACTCACAGTATTACCAACACAGGTCTTCACCTTGAGTGTCCTTGTGTGATCTCTCGGCAAAGACAGCAGTGGTGGAGTATGGCTGTTAAGAGCTTGAAAGCTCCACAGCTGCTGCCCTCTCAGGGTCAAGACATGGACAACTTTGAGTAAGTCCACTTGTGGCACTCTCCTGGCTGCGGAAGGTTGGCTGTGGGAGAAAAGAAGCCTAATACAGCACCAAGGGAGATTCTTTTATGAGTGATTTTAACTACACAGCTAAGTTGGTGAGGAAACACACCAGTGCCTCTTCACATTGGGACCTTAACTCTTGGCTCTAGGAGATGGGACTGTAAGAGACGGTGTCAACAAAATGCTCTCTGAACTCTGAAGAATATATCCAAGAATAGGTAAGGAAGAGTTAATATCTCTCACGAGTGCTTCACTTTTCTTATGGTTTTCAGATGCAGTATCATTTGGGCAGGCATGTTTAAGGCAGGCGAGTCTCAAAACATTCTGTACAATGTCAACTGCACTAGCAGCAAGGGAGATTCAGAGTCAAGAAATGCCTCTAAGCACAGACCAACAGTCAGAAGTAATCACTAAAACTGATAAACATATGAACATTTGTTTTTCTTTCCAGGGCAGAAGGCAGCAGTAAGTTGCCATCTCTGTCAAGTGTCAGTGAATTTCCTCAGCATATTTAAGAACTCGACAGATTTTTTTAATTATATTGCTAGGTGTGACTATAAATTATTTCCAACAACAGCAATCCTATGTCAGGATTAACATGTAAACAGAAGTCAATGTTCAATCTTTTTTTCCACTAATTTTTGGCTATTTCTATAGTTTTACCTGCATGTGAGTGCATAAAAATAAGCAGAGATTTATTAGTCCATTTAAAAGCTCTGTTAAACAGCTTGCTGGGTGCTCAGTGCTGCACTAAAGTGTGCACAGACAGAAGGGCTTTAGCAGGACACAGTTTCAAGACAGACCTGGTCTCTCCCTGCACCAGGGCTTCCCATGAGGTCTATGCTCCACTGCAGCTGTCTTCTTGTCAGCTGAGACTGGGAGATATCTAATACAGGAGAATATTTGGGTCAGAAATTCCCCCAGGCTATTCAGAGCCTCCTCTGAATTGACTTTCCCCACAGCAGCATCTGTTCATACTGTGCTCGCTCTCACACCCACACAGTTTCATGAGGACACCACCATCCCTCACACTTGCACGAGAATATCTTTCTTCCAATAGATTCATGTATTTGAACAAACATCTGAGCTCTAAATGAGGCTAACCCGGGGAATTACAGGCTGGTCAGCCTGGAAAGGGCATGAAGCAAATTGTTGTGGAAGCCATTTCCAAACATAGGAAGGAGAAGAAGGTGGCAGAGCAGTCAGCATAGATAGATGAAGGGGAAATCATATCTGATGAGCCTGATAGCTTTCTGTGAGGTTGTTTATCTTGATTTTAGTAAGGTTTTTGACACTGTCTCCCATAACGTCTTCATAGACAAAGTAATTGAAGATGGGCCAGATAATTAAGTAGACAGTGAGTTTGACTGAAAACTGGCTGAGCTGCTGGGCTCAAAGTATTGTGCTTAGGGGAACAAAAGTCCAGCTGGAGACCTGTCACTAGGGGTGTAGCCAGGGGCTGATACTGGAGCCACTACTGTTCAACAACTTCATTAATGACCTGGATGATGGGACAGTGTACCCTCAGCAGGTTCACAGATGACACAAAACTGGGAGGAGTGGCTGACACATCAGAGGATTGTGCTGATATTCAAAGGTTCTGATATTTACCAGATATATGCTGGTGAACTGGGCAAAAAGAGATTTTAAGAAGTTCCACAAAGGGAAGTGCAAAGTCAGACACGTGTGGAGGAACAGTACACACTGGGGGCCAAACGTCTGGAAAGCATAACAGAGAAGTAGCTGGAGGACACTAGACTGAACACAAGCCAGTGAGGTGCCTTTGGGGCAAAAAGGGCCACCAGCCTCCTGGGCTGGGTTAGGAAGAGTGCTGCCAGCAGGCTGAGGGAGGTGCTCCTTCCCCTCTACTCAGCACTGGCGAGGGCACATCTGGAGTGCTGTGTCCAGTTCTGGGCTGCCCAGTACAATAGAGGCATGGACATACTGGAGACAGTCCAGCGAAGGGTCACAAAGGTGATGAAGGAACTGGAGCACCTCGCATTTGAGGAAAGGCTGAGAGTGGTGGGACTGCTTAGTCTGGACAAAAGAAGGCTCAGGGGGGCTCTTTTCAACATTTATAAGCACCTGATGGGAAGATGTAGATCAAGAATCTTCTTAGTGGTACCCAGTGAAAGGACAAAAGAGATGGGCAGAAACTGAAGTACAGGAAATTCTATTTAAACATAAGAAAAGTTTGGTTTTTTTTCTTTTTTTTTTTTACCATAAGGGTGATTGAACACTGTAACAGGTTGCCCAGAAATGTTGTGGAGTCTCCATCCTCAGAGATATTCAGACTGGATATTGTCCTGAGCAACCTGCTCTAGTTGATCCATCTTGGAGCTGTCATCCATGGTAGTTCTGTATTTAGCAACATTTTTACCTCTCTTAAAGGCTCAGGTCATATTCAAAGGTACAAAAGATTTACACACAATCTAATCACAGTTTCAGTCATACCCAGAGCTACAAGCCTGAGCTACAGGAAACATCTGTTATTGCTAGTGTGGCCTTCAGTATTTTCCTTAGTTAAGTCCTTGGCCAACTTCTTATTAGTGTCCCAACTAATTGCCCCTCCATCTCTGCTGTACCTAAAGAGAGCAGGCTTCTGCTTTCCTTTAGGCCCCAAGCCATTTTTCCTTTGACAGTCAGCAGCTGGTTTTGTGACAGCAAAAAGAGAAATATGAATATTACTGCAAAGCTGTGTATACAGAGGCAACTGAAGGATCCAGACATCAAAGGAAACACAACTAAATTCCAGCCAGCCAAAGTATGTACAAAGCTAGGCCAAGGAGTAACTAGAGGGTATTTCAGATCATAGGAGCAAAAAAATGCACAAGTCTACTGAAGAACCAAAGCTGTCTAATATATTAGCAGTGATCATCCACAATTCCATTAATTTACCTTTTCTGTCTGCTTTTTGAGTTACTGTGCAGTGATAAATAGCCTTCATATTGCATCATACCCAACACCCCCAGTCATCTTATATATCAGTATTATATGCTATGTCCAAGAAGGCACCTCCAGCCTTCTTCCACTACCCTAAATGTGTCAGTGAGGTGTCCCTGCTGGTTCTTACAGCTGGTTCTTACCAGCTGGCTCTTGCCATGTTCATCACATCTTGCACATCTCAGCTCACTGTGTGCAGACAGAACAAATTCAGTCACAGACCCTTCCAACGCTGCTGAGCTTGCCTATGCAATCTCTAGATATGTGAGGCATTCTATATATTGGCTTCATACAGCAAACACCTCCACCTAGGAACCTTGCAACTGGATGCAGACTCCATGAGAAGCATGTACTGCTACTATTCCATGCTCAGCAGGATAGTCTCCTAGTGCCTGCTGTCAGCGTTCCCTCTCCTTCCTGTAAATGCTGCAGCCTCATACACCTTAGCAAGGAACACCTTGCCTGGCAGGCAAGGATTTGGATTGATTCTTTTTATACAGGCTCTTGTATCATTCATGTTTTGCTGACAAAACTAACAGTCCTTTTTTTCTTGTACCTCTCTGGCACCCAGAGAAGAGAAGAATCTAGGCAAGGCCTGAATGGAAGGATGTGCTTTTAACATGCTCCAGTCCAGTGAACACTCTCTTAGAGAATTAGCTGAAGAGGGGGTGGGAGATGAAGTTACCATCTTCCAGAGGGGAGTAAGCAGACTGCATGAATGCCTGCTGTAGGAGGGCATCACCATGTACATGACTGTAACTCGCCTGCTCTTTGCTGCACTTAGCATCCTGCCTGCGTGAGAGATCTTCATTAACATGCAAATACAAAAAGCCCTCAGGAGAAAAAATTTCTCATGTCTTGCACCAAACACTCTGAGACAGCCTTCTGTGGAATGGCTGAGAAATGAAGATTAGATATGACAGAAGAGCTCTGGATGTAATGGTTTCTCAGGTAATCTGATAAATTATCTCCCACTAAAACCTGAACTTCTTTGTATCTTCCGAGGACTACAGTAAAAAAGCAAAACCAAAAGAAAAAAGCTCTCTACAACTATGTGGAAAAGATGCAGTAAGTAAAGAACATTTTTGTGAGTAAATATTCTGCAACAACGATGGCAGTCACTGAAGTAAGGTTGAGGGGATGTGCGTGCTGATTACTCTGATCTTTTTCTTAGGTATTTAGAAAAAAGTTTAATTTCAGGGAGTTATTTTATGATTTGCATTGCTGCAGGCCTGCCCAGTGCTAATGTGTGATGAGATTAGAGGGCATTCTCTTGCCATACACTGCTGTTGCTGCTGAGAAACTATCTGGAGAAGATTGGCTAGTGATACCTTCATACAACTAAGTGGTTATTAACAAAATACCATGGGAGAGCAACAACAGAACTAATTAAAGATACCCACAATCACAACTGTGTTCTTCTCTTGTCCCTGGACCAGAATGGCTGAAAGATCTTGATAACAGTGTCCTTAGTAGGGGACAACGTTACTAGCTATAGGGAGCACTTCTAAGGTGTTCACAACATTTGCAAGCGCTGTCAGGAAGTTTCACAAGAGCATCCATGCTTGGAATCACAGACATCTCCAGCACAGCTGAGGTTTCCCAAGATGCTATGCTTAGGCCAAAAGATACCGACCCAGGGATCTTACCTGTCTCTGAGGACCAGTGGGTTCAGACTCTCGTCTCCTTTGTCGGATAGCTGGTGCTGAATGTAGGGGGGAATGGGCTGGACTTCCTGTCTGCTGTTCATGTTTACTGTCAGATACTGTTTGAGAAGGTCCTTCATGTCTGTGGGAACTGTCCTCCTCAGTCACAGGCTGCATGCCCCGACTTCGCCCATCATGCGTCTTTGGCCTGACTGCAGCATCTGCCCCCAAGCGCCTTCGCTCCTCACCCTCTTCAATAGGTCTTAGTTCCTCAGGCTCCTCATCCGTGGTTCCAGAGGTGCTCGGCTCAGCACCTGGGTGGAAGTCCTTCAGCTCTGTCTCCTTATCAATGATGACCCACTCCTTGCTGTCAAAGTCCTCCTCCTCGGCGAGGGGCACGGAGCGGAAGGCGTTGCTGAGGGCTTCGTGCTCCACTGAGGCAGACACATCCATCCTGCCGCTGGCCTGCCGGTCAGCCTGGCCGGTGTCAATGGACAGCATCTGGGCTGGCTGGGAGGAGCACACCAGCCGTGACGGAGAGCCAGGTAAGTCCATCCGAGACCTAAAGACAGAACACGAAGCCGTTACAAATACACCAGGTTTGTGGTCAAAGTGAGGGATCATAAGAGCTGAGAGAAAACCTGCACAGTCCATCTCACTCATTTCTTGCTTCCGAATGACAGGCTTAAACAAAAGTATTTCTTTGGAACCTACAATGGCATAAAGATGTTCCCCTCAAAGTGCTTCAGCATGACAGCCAGTTCAGCATCTCTCTTCCTTGTAGATGACATGACGCTAAAGAGTTTCCCCCAACAAACCCAATATACTTTTTTCCTTTGGTAAATTCTACTGGTTTGTGAAACAAACAAACAATCAAACCAGCCAACCACTCCTAAATCTACCATCTGACTTAACTGTGTCTCTGCTGGGCTTCTGTAACCTCTGGAGCTGGACTGTGCCATCTCTGTGGTGGCCACTGAGGCCTCTAAGGCACCCACACAAATTCTTCAAAGACAACAAGAATCTTTGATTCCATTGTGCATAGATGACACTAAATACTTTGGAGGAGCAGGGAGGAGACATGGCAAGCAACCCTTTACAAAGCGTAGAATAATGTTCAGTGGCTCTCAGTCTAAATAGCAGCAGCTTCTGCAGCCATGCAGAAATAACTTTTAAAGAGGCCCTGGAAGCTCCTCGTGCCCCAGTGGTCCTGTCAGCATCTCAGCTAGAAAAGCCCGTGTCAGCCTTGCTGCTCCACAGTGTTCATGTAGCCTACACCTGCTGTTTGGTTTGCTTCTCTGTCACAAAGGCTAGCAGCTTGCTGCACAAAGCCAGAGCATCTGCTGCCCCAAAAAAGACAGCTGCAGCATGTTTTACAAAAAGATCTCAATAAGGACAATACAGGAGCCTTGCAGACTCTTCTGGGAAAAGCCTTCCACGTGTGAGAAAACATGAGGGGAAGCAGAGAAGTGACTGACCACTGGGTGAGGGCTGGTGAGTAAAACTGAGCTTCTTTAGCACAGTGGAAAGTCAGAGTCGAGATGGAAAGAATTAAAAGCAAAAATGATTTTTTTTTTAATGAAGAAAGGGGAATTGGAGGTGAACCAAAAGCTGATTTAAAGAAAAATGTGAGTAAAACCAAAGATCTCAGCAAAAGCCATCTGAGGAATCTGAGAACAGGCTGTATTTGTTAAAGTCTTTAAAAAAAATATTATTGTGAATAGGGAACACAAAGCATGCAAGGTAAGAATGACAAATGGCCTGTACTGTGTGTGAAGAACTGGATTTTAAAGAGCTGTTGATAAAAAAATAAAAGAAAGTCTGCAGTTAGCTGATGTCTCCATCCACTCCCGAGCAGAGGAGACTTCTGGAGTGGAAGAATTTACTCCAGAAAGGCAGAAGAATTTCCCAGTGCTGGGAGTCAGTTTGTGTTGTGAAAAGACAAAAACATCCTATTTCAAAGTCTTTCTTCTGAGCGAGAATAATAATAAGTAGCAAGACTCCAGATTTGTTATTCAAACTCTAAATTAAGAGCAACACAAACAATCTTTCCTGAATTACAGAGAAATATTACAGCTTTCCCCAGACACCCAGAATAAAACGGTACCTAGCAAACTGGGGGTAGTGCTAGTGGTTTATACTCGTTCTAGTTCTTTTTGATTCTTCTTCATTTCCAGCTACCATCTCCTTGTGACTGTTCCTCTTAGGTCAAGTCCATCAGATTTTCTCTGAGAAGACCTGTCTCTCCCCTATCTCTTTTAGAGGAGCCGTTTCACCACAACATTCTGTAATCACAATCCATACACTGAGTTCCAATGGGAGGAGGAAGAGAGAGTAACAAAGGATGTGAATGGGGTTACCAGCACTAAGGGCTTATGTCTTGTAACACATTCTCCTGCACACAATCCCTTAAAAAGCTTCTTTTCATTAGCTTGTTGGTTTTTGTTTTGTTCTGTTTTTTTTTGTTTTTTTTTTTTTTTTTTTTTTTTTAATTCTTTGGTGTGGATCTGAGATCTATTACCCTTGAAATCAGGGTGCAATGTGTACTTTTGACATGCAAACAAGTGCAATGCTGTATGCTGAAAAATGAATAGTGTTATTACTGTTATAAGAAAATAATGAAACCCACCAGAGCAGGACCTGCCAGCTAGCTCCCCGAGTGCATGCATCCCTGTATGTACACTAACAAGATCCTTCTTCCCTCCCACCTCAGGCCAGGCGAAAGCTTTGTGACTATTTACATTATCTCTGATCTCATGCTTTGCCTCCACCCTGACAAACGTTCCTCCTACCATCTCATAGAATCATAGAATCATTTA